AAACAGCCTGCTGCCGGGGCCTCCTGGTCCTCCACTGCACTCTCACGCTGCTTGCCTTTGTCCCCAGGGATGGTCTGCTTTGTCTGTTTCCTCTCGGCCATCTGCTTCACACTGCAGTCTGGGAACTATTGGCTGGAGATCTTTGACAGTTTTGCAGCTTCTCTGAATTTGATCATTTTTGCCTTCATGGAGGTGGTTGGGGTCATTTACGTTTATGGGATGAAGCGGTAAGTCGTTCCCATACCCCATCTCAGGGCAGAGCAGGAAATGGAGTTGGTGGTGCAGTTGTACCCACAGCTGTCCGGATCCTGGGGAAAACTCTGAGATGGTACCCTAAGATCCAGGGTGGGCTCAGGGTGCCCTCTGTTCTTGATTTTAAAGGATGGGCTGTCTAATGAGGCCACACAAGGGAGCCTGAGCCAGTGTCTTCTGCAGGTTCTGTGATGACATTGAGTGGATGACTGGGCGGCGGCCCAGCCTCTACTGGCAGGTGACATGGAGGGTGGTGAGCCCTACCCTGCTGTTCAGCATCGTCCTGTCCTACATCATCCTTCTGTCCCAGAGGCCACCCAGCTACAAAGCCTGGAACCCACAATATGTATGTACTTCCCATGAGGCTGTGGGGATCCCTCAGGCTTGACCTAGCATCCATGGTTCTACCCGTGGCTTAGATGATCTACACATGGTAGTGTAGTCTGACCACTTTGGTAACTGGGGATCTAGGTATGTAGATAGATGGTTATCTATAAGGCCTGAGGATGTTGGCATTCCAAGTCAGGAGCTTTGGTAAGCAGAATGTAGATCTCAGTGGTGTCTAGACTCTAGGGCAGTGGTTCTCAACCTTTGGGTCACAACCTTTTGGGGTAAAATGACTTTTCACAGGGTCACCCAAGACCATTGGAAAACACAGCTATTTGCATTACTATTCATAAAAGTAGCAAACTTACAGCTATGAAGTAGCAATGAAAAAATTTATGGTGGAGGGGTCACCACAACGTGAGATTAAAGGGTCACAGCATTAGGAAGATTGAGAGCCATTGCTTTAGGTGCATCATAGGTCCCACTGGCCTCTTTCTTAGAGACATGGCCTCATTTCACTGTCTGGGTGCTTCAGGACAAGTATCCAGAAAACTGCTCAGTTTCTATCTATGACAAGATAAATGATGGACAGAGGGTGTCTTATGACTATCAATATGGCCTCAGGCTTTTCACTGTCTCCTAAGGTGGGCTAGTCCCTTCCAGCTGTAACTCCTAGCCTTTACTCCACTGCCTGGTCCTTAGAGGCACACATACATAGTTCTGAGCTTCACCTGCATCTGTGTCTCTCATTAACATGAGAGCCATCCTCTCCAAGTCCATGCTAAAGAGAGACCCTAGCAGAGCAGCAGGGACCTGTAAAGGAGGCTGTACACTTGAAAAGTTTTCATGAGAACTGTCCCATTAGATGTACCTTCTACCTCCTCATGCAAACACACAGGAAGCATCTGCAAGCCGGGTGGGTGGTGTTGCCATATCACAGAGGAGAAAGATGGGGACCCAGAGTGACAGTTGTACAAAGCTGGCCTTTTGATGGTTCCCACCCTCAGGAGGGGCTGGGGTAGAGGAAGTCCTGACCAAACTTCTTTCATTTTCCCCAGAATCTGTGTGCTCACTGTGGTTTCAGGAAGTGGGGAGTGAAGTTGCCACTTCACTTAACTTGGTGGTGGTCAAGGATCAGTCTGGTTCCACTTGGAAATGGGTGGTGTAGGCCCTGCTGGGACACATATCTGATCATGCCCTTCTGTCTCCACAGGAACATTTCCCCTCAAGAGAGGAGAAGCTCTACCCTGGCTGGGTGCAGGTCACCTGTGTGCTCCTGTCCTTCCTGCCCTCACTGTGGGTCCCAGCAGTTGCTCTGGCTCATCTATTGTACCAGCGCAGGCAGAGGTGGAAGGATACACACCTGGAAAGTGGTCTGAAGCCTCAGGAGAGCAGAGGCTGCTGAAGGGCAGAGCCAGGGTAGACCAGGGTGGGGAGGTAGACTTGTGCTACTCAGACCCAGCCTCATTACACGCTGTCCCTGACTCAGACCACGTGATTATTGCTTTCCCAGCATTCAGCATAGTGGAAGACTCATAGGTTCAGGGTACCTGCATGTTGTCCAATGGGCATCTGTGTGATGCCATTCCTCCAAATCTAGGTTCCACAGGGTGCAATCTGTGTGGACACCACTTCCCCCTGAAATCCATGCTGAGTGGGGAAGCCCTGAGTGTAGTTGGCAGTGGCAGGACTGTGGAATCCATTTTCTATGAGTGGTCTCCACATTACTAATTCCAGAAATCCAAGCCTAATGCTGGTCTTCAAAGGAGAGCTGAGCTCGGTGGGAGGAAACTGACAGACAGGAAACCTCTTCCTCCTCCCCTATCAGCCTCAAGTTACCACATCTGTGAAGAGACCCGCAAGTGCATATCAGAAACCATTAGAGAACCTCCATCACATGTCTATGACCAGTGTCACAGGGGTGAGGTGGGGCGGTCACAAGCCAAGGAGGTACCGACTGTGTCACTGACTCACCATACATATTGTTATTTTTGCTTTTTAAGCATCTAAGTTTTGCTTGTCAAAAAAGAGCAGAAAGGCTACTGGTCAGTCAGTTTCTACTCTCTCATGAGAGTGATAATCATTTATCACTCACATCTGTTCACTCACTGTGACACTTTACTGCCCAGTCCTCTGCAGCCTGCAGGCAAAGCCATGACTTCAGAATCACAGTTCCTCAGTGCTCAGAGACCCCTTCCTCTCTCCCTCTTGTCCTCTTGTTTTCTGCCCTTTATATCAACACTGTGAAATCAGGGTCATCTTTGAAGCCTGGAGCCCTGGACAAAGATGCCCACTTCTGGTTAGTCCCCATAGAGCCATCTACACCAACTAGTGGCTTTATGATGTCAGTAACTGCCCAGACACAACAGACCATGGTGTCTTGAAGGAGATCGTGCCAGATAGGCTGCTCATGGTGCTGACATTTTAAGCAAGAAAGGTTTATGTGTGAAAATCTGTCTTAATGGAAGCCATCTTTGTCATGGCCAGCTCAGATCAAAGTAAACACAGAGGTTTCTGGGGCTGTTCACCTGCCGATCCGCTGAGCACCACACATGGAATGAATCCCAGGGTGCCCAACCCTAAGTGCTCAAGCCTACCAAGGGTTAAATCTTGACCTTGGGCCGGGCGGTGGTGGCGCACGCCTTTAATCCCAGCACTCGGGAGGCAGAGCCAGGCGGATCTCTGTGAGTTCGAGGCCAGCCTGGGCTACCAAGTGAGTTCCAGGAGAGGCGCAAAGCTACACAGAGAAACCCTGTCTCGAAAAACCAAAAAAAAAAAAAAAAAAAAAAAAAAAAAAAAAAAAAAATCTTGACCTTGGTCCAGCATCCTGGATTGTGACAAGTGTCCATGCCCACCCATTCTGCCATTGATAAATGCTCTTGATAAGCAGGGATGTTGAGAGTCACCTATCTTTATACAAGGCAAATTTTATGTCCATATCGTGTTTTAAAAATACATAGGGTGTTGTAGGGGCCTATTGTTAGGGGAAAATTTTTGGTGTAGAACATCACAAAAGCGGCATGGACTCTGCCCGTACCTTGGAAGAATACGCTTTCTGCCAGGAACTGAAATGAAAGCATGTGTGCCCTGGATCCTGGAGCCCAGAACGTGGAGTCCTGCTTAGCTACGGAGAACAAAGGCTTGAGTGCTCATGTCTTCAGAGCAATCCATTCTGCACACATTCTTGATGCAGCTATGAGAATATCTGCACAGAAGGGACGATGGCAGGAGGCATGTTCAATGAGTGGTTGGTAGGTGGACATACAGACAGATGGGCAGTCCAAAACAGCAGAGGCCCACCAGCCTCTGTCAAACAGACTGATTGTTGGGAGCCTCTGGTGAGTGCTTTGAAACTTGGAATGGCTACCAAAGCACTATCCAGGAGGAAGTGAACAAGGGTCCAGACTGCAGAGCAAAGGTGAGTGGTCTGAGCCTGCATGACCATACCTACATGCAAGGTACCTTCAAGTTGACCCTGCCCTTGAGAAAAACATAGGCTAGGCCTGCCCAGCAAAGACTGGACCACAAGACATACAACTTGCAGGAACACACCACTTCTCAGGGCAACTGTGTCAACTTAGAAATGAAGCTGCTATGAATGGCCTGTCAACTCTGAGATGGACGTAGCGTCCATGTCTTCCTCAGCCACAGGAGCCCTCCCTTCTCTCAGTATTTTTCTTCCGCCTAGCTCTATCCTACAACTAAGGTTAAGATTATACTTGGAGAGGTGTTCCTCTACACTCTAGGGTGAAAGTTAATTCTGTAGTCCAGGTGATCCTGAGAATACATGCTCAGTCAAGCCAACTTGCTGTATGAGAAGCAGCCCCCTCTTACAATAGGTGGAACTCATTGTGAAAGGCACCACCATTGTGGCTAGGGAGTGAGTCTGCTGAGGGGACTACCTGAAGCAGACGCCATCCCAGGCTGCTGTGTCTTATCACAGAGAACAAGTTTCACTTGGGTCCTTTCTGTCATGCCTGCTGCATTTCAACTGCAGGAGAGCAGACTGTGGAAGTCACCTTCCTTATGGCATCATTGCAGGGATATATCCCAGTCATGCAGGGATATATAACATAAATTCTACCAACCCCAGATGTGCCTCCAATTTCCTGCATCCTTGGTGAACAGAGTCTAGCCTAAAGAGGTGCATCCCACCCCTCAGTTTGAGGACCCCCCCCCCCAGCAGCCTGGGCCACCTGGGAGTTTGTGAGCCGCAGTCACCTCATTACCCTCATCACCCTATCAGTGTCTATATCCTGCTGAGGTAAGGGAGGTGGCATTCAGGAAGGGTAAGAGGGCCTGTGCAACTTTGTGGGCACCTGCTCTGCTGGGCTACAGAAGTGGTTCTGTTGTCAGGAAAACTGGGGTTCCCTTTGGGTTCTCAGTCTCATTAGTAAAATAATTAAAAACAGACTCAGAAGGCAGCTTGAGGACATTTTTTATTAAAGTTTGAGAGGAAAAACAATACAAGCAAGAAGAAAATCCAAGCAGCTGCCAGAGGAGGGGAGGTGAAGAAGTTATGCCTTTGAAACTAGGTATGGATGTAGAGAAACAGAAAAAGCCCAGACTATCAGGGAAAGCATGTTTAGAGGTGTCAAACTGCAGATCTGAATTTGTGGGTATTTGATTCTAGGATTGCTTCAGGAATATGTGGCTGGAAATAGAGAGACAGCTTGCTATGAAAGGGAGAGCACACAGCTCTCCCAAGTTTGTGTATCACTGAACATGATCCATTCCTGAGAAAAAGTTCAAGTGAAGGACTCCAGACTTCCTCTGCAAAATGGCTTCTTTCCCATGTTAATCTTGTTTCACTCCTGTCCGTGTCTCCTGCCACAGGTCTTCACACTGGTCCCCAGATCCTGAGAACAAGTCCTGAGTTTGTCTCCTCACTTGTTTCCATAACAAATTCCTGAACATCAGAAGCTATTCCTAAACATACCTGTACTCTTACTGCCTCGGAGGCCCAGAGTGTGAATCGGGTCTCACTGGGCCATGGTTGAGGCGTGCTGGGCAGCACCTGTCCTTAGCTAGTCTGGTTGATAGTGCCTTCATTACTGCACTTGGCCTTTTCCTCCAGCTCAAAGACTGCAGTGGCTGGTTTAGTTTTTCTACAACCCAATTCTACTCAGCATTCCCTCTTACTGACCCCTGTGATGATCTCAGACCCACCCAGATAAACAGGATGATTCATATCTTCAGGTCAACAGATCTTCACTCCATCTGTAACCATAGCCACATTTCATGATCAGGTAGCGTAGTCAGTTTCTGGGGACCAACACCTCTTTGTTGTCATTTTTCTGCTTACCATAAGTGTGCTCGGCTTATGTCAACTTGACACAAGTGAAAATCATTTGAGGGAAGGTAACCTCAATTAAGAAAATTCATCCAGCTGGCTGCTGGTGACACACACCTTTAATCCCAGCACTCAGGAAGCAGAGGCAGGTAGATCTCTGTGAGTCCAGGGCCAGCCTGGGCTACAGAGAGTTCTAGGACAGCCATGGCTGCACAGAGAAACCCTGCCTTGAAAAACTGAAAAAAAGAAAAGAAAATTCATCCATACAACTGGGCTGTAGGCAAGCCTGTAGGGCATTTTCTTAATTAGTGATTGATGTGGGAGGACCCACTCCATTGTGGGTGGGGACACCCCTGGGCTGATAGTCTTGGTTCTATAGTAAAACAGACTGAGAAAGCTGTCAGAGCAAGCCAGTAAGCAGCACTCTTCATGGCCTCTGCATCAGCTCCTGTCTCTAGGTTCCTGCAGTCCATCCAGTTTTAGGAACTCCCTTTAGTTCTATGATATCCTTCACAGGTGAACATCATTATAGGTACCGAGTATTGAGCCCAGTGTGTGGGTGTCCAGAGAAGGGCAAGAAGGAACTCTTATCCTGTAGGAAGCTCATGACTGGTTCCATTGACATTGCTTTCTCATGCTCAAATCCTTCTCATTCCTGTTCTTCTCTGATTCTGTATGCATGTTTGCAGAGGTCAGAGAACGATCTTAAGTGTCCTTTCTCAGGAGCCATCCCCATTTAAAAAATTATTTTTAATTTGATTTTTAGATAGGGTCTCTCACTGGCCTAGAACTCACCAAGCAGGTTAGGCATCCAGGGAGCCCCAAGGATACATTTGTCTCCACCTTGACAGTTCTGGGGTTACAGGCATGCACCATCACACCTGACTTCCTCACAGGGGTTCTACACTTGCAAGGGAACACACACCACCACCACACCAATAAGTTTCAGCTCAGATCCCATTGCCTTTTAACTTCGCCGGTTTTGTTTCCCCCAGGGCGGACCTGGCAGTCTCCACAGTAACTGAAGAAAGAACTCAGCAACTCATGAGTTGGGGCCCATTAGGACATGAACCTTTAGCGAGGGCTTAACAATTTGGCAGGAATACAAGTGGTCTTGAGGAGAGCTGGAACTAGATGAACATGGCTAGAGATAAGATGCTAGCACCTAGTGGATTGGCTGATGACATGATGTTACTGGCACACCGGAGAGGCCTGAGTGTGCCCAGCCCAGGCGGAAGATTTCTAGTCTCCTGTTGAGCTATGTATGACCTTGGATCCTGGGATTTCCCAACCCTATTTTAATCCCGTTACTGAGTGTCCTCTGCCCTGGGACTGGGTTGGTTCCAGCAGGCTGGCTGTCAAGATCCCCAAACATACACCCTCCATATGGAAGTTCCAGGAGCCTGGGTGCATTTATGATCCACTCCCTGGACTTGGCTCTGCTGTAAATGCCTTCGGCTTAGTCACTTGGATGCACTAAAAGGCAGCAGGATGAACAAGGCACTGTCATAAGGCCAGCTGGGGCCAATTAGGCTGCATCAGCGCTGGGGCTGAGAGCCCTGTCCAAGGTACAGTTTCTCTGGTCCCACCAATGATATCCCAGAAGCTTCCAGAATTGCTCAAAGCTAATTGGTTGTGACTAAGAGCTCAGTGAATCCAGCTCAGTCAGTCCATTTGGAAGCTGGGGGCAGGGAGGTGGGGAGCTGTTCTTTACATCTCTATGCCCTTTATGCTGGTCTTCCTGCTCCCTATGTTAGCCTCAGGCTGTCTGTTGAATGGCTTTTGTCTAGCTCTACTGAGAGCTGACTTCTCTCTTGAGGGAGCTGCTGTGCTGGTCTGCAGGGACAGGTGGTACTTCAACAGAGTAGACAGGAGGGCCCTGGCTGCCTGTCTGAGGACAAACTCATCCTAGGTGTTCCTACAAACTCCTTACTGTAGGGGCCCATGGCACAAAAGCAGGGGTAAGGCCCAGGCCAGATTCACCAGAGGCGCCCAGAGATTGCTACCCTTCAGCATACCCCATATCCTCGCTCATACCTTGGATTATACTCCTATGGCCTTATCCTGTATTTTCCCCACCCACCTGCACATTCCAACTTGACTCTGAACAGAGCTTGAGGCTGTCTGCTCCACCCTGGAGCCAGAGCAAGGAAGAACCGTGTATATTGATGTTTTTGTTCAGCTCTTGTTTAGGTAGCCATATGTTGAGGTATCATGGGTGTAGCCACCCTGCCATTTCTAGGAGACAAAAATCTCAGTTTATTTGGTCCTCTGGCTCTTACAGTCTTCCTGTCCCCTCATTCATTATGTTCCCTAAGTCTTAGGTTACAACAGAGGTTGTGTTGTAGAGGAATCCACTGGGGCTGGGTACTCCATGATCACTTGTTTTCAGCATTCATCTAGTTGTGGATTTCTGTAATGTTACCTATCTGTTGCAAACGTTCTTTGATGAGGGAGGGGTGAGCACTACACTTATCTATGGGTGTAAGGATACATACTTAGCAAGCAGTTAGAAATTATGCTGGTTTAGCAAAATGGCCAAATTAAGTTCTTCTTAGACCCATAGCCTCACTAACCCCAGAGAGTTGGCTAAATTCCAGTACTCCTGTTGAGTGGGCTTTGAAACAAATTAGACAGCTGCTGGTTACTGCCAAGACATGCATGCCCCTGTTGCACCTTTATGGAAAATATTGTCTAGAGAACGAGTTCTAGGACAGCAAAAGCTAAAATAACAACAACAACAGCAAAAGTAACAAGACATTCAGTCACCTGAATTCAGAGTATATTTAGGCTGTAATTTAGGTTACTGGTTCAAAGTCCTGTCTTCATCTCTGAGACACTCTGACCTCACTGGAAAAGACTCCATGGTTAGATATGAAAAGACACCAGGGCCAGGCATCTCACACCTGTCCACATGGTCCCAGTGCCCATACGTCTTCTACCTCCTTTGGTGTTGGTGACTAGTGGATCCTTGACACTAAAAGGGGTGGGATCTGCTTCCTGGAGGGCATCAGGAAGGAAATCAAGCCCACCACAGGAAACAGGGCACTGGGACAAACTTCCATACTACCACCCCATGACACAGAGGTTTTGGAGGGCAACCTAGCCCCACAACAGGCTGGTCCCTCTTGTGGCATGGATCTAGGAGTGGTGGGGCTACAATGCCCATGTTCATCCAGCTAAAGGGGACAGGGTTAGTCCAAAATGGTCTGAAAGTCTGTGCTTAGGGCTGGATCAGCTGCAGCCTTAAGGATGGCCATTGTCGTCCTTGGGAGCTTCCGGCCTAGCTGTCTTTGGGCTGCAACAGAGGATGTACTCAAATTTCATTCCAAAGAGGTGAGGTAGTCCCTTAGCCTACCTGGGTCAAATCCTGGCCATGTGTGGGCCAGGTGTGAGCAGGAGCCCCACCCAGGAACACACTACCACCACTACAGAAACCTGAGGATCCCTCCCAGCATCTAGGAAGCAGCAGAGCAGAGGTGAAGGGACCAGGCAGGGATCAGAAGGTTCCTGAAAGTGAAATGTGTCACCCCATGGGCCTTTCTTGAGGTAAGAAGTAGAACAGAGGGAGCAGGAAGGCAGAAGTAGGAAGCTGTGGTCTGGAAGCCTAGCTTCACCCACCCAGAGCTGCCTGAGTGGGCTCCTCCCCAGGCAAATGGAGATGGGCTTGGCATCTACAGTTTGCCTTTGGGTTCACCTAGAAACTCAGTGTTCAAGGGTAGATTTGGGGGCCATTTGGAGGGAGCTCACTTACTTGTCCTGAGAGTTCCCAGGAGACGCTTGTAGATGACAGAATGACCAGCCAGCTTGCGCAAGAAAGCTTGGTAGCAGAGCCAACGAGCAGCTTCAGGAGGAAATGAGCCAGAGGCTCCCTTGATCCTTAGTGTCATTCCTGGGGAAGCAGATGGAGGCTG